GAATAATAACGTAGTACCGAGATACGGTAATTAACAAGAATAAAAGAATAAAAACGATACCAAGATTTTTACGTGGAAAACCCTTCTTGAATAAGGGAAAAAACCACGGCCCCGAGAGGAGCAACTGATATCACTATCGCAAGTAATTTTACACTTTGTAGGTCCGAGTAAAATACTCCATAGACCACTACAACACTCAAAAGAAATAACCCTCTTTTGATATTCCCATCTCACTACAATATCGCTCTCTCTCTATTTTTCTCACAGATTATTTTCTTATACTCTGTCTGTGAAACCTCACTCTTTCTTTCTAACTCTAAGATATATTTTTTCTCTAAGATTGTGTGTGTAGAACTGAGAGCCGAAGCTCTCCTTTTATAAGCAGAGCCTCTCTTTTTCACGCCTCCTACAATTCATATTTTCCTTCTGTAGCCTACCCTTTTTGACAATGCAGAAGATAAGAGTGGCTGCCAACCAACAAAGGAAGAAAGTCTTCCTTAAATCATGGGCTGGACCCCACAATCTCTCCCTCCATTCCCATTCACTTGAAGGAGGTAACACTGGAGTTTCTAGTTTGAGTGCATGCCCACAAGTTCTTTGCAAAACTCGAACTTGTCTCTTGGTACTACCTTGGTTAGCATATCTGCAGAATTCTCACTTGTATGGATCTTCTTGACTTGTATAGATCCATTCTCAAATCCAGTGATATCTCACGTCGATATACTTCGTCCTTGCATGATACATGGTGTTTTTGCTCAGGTCTATTACACTTTGACTATCACAATAGACGACATACTCCTTCTGATATAATCTAAGCTCTCGAAGGAACCGTTTCAGCCAAACCATCTCTTTGCCAGCTTCAGTAGCGGCAATATACTCTACTTCAGTTGTAGAGAGTGCAACACACTTCTGCAACTTTGACTGCCATGATATAGCTCCCCCTGAAAATGTGAACATGTATCTTGTAGTAGATTTATAATTATCAAGATCACCTGGCATATCAACATCTGTATAGCCCTTCAAGATTGGATCAGATCCTCCAAAACACGAGCAATCTCCTATAGTACCTCTTAGGTACCTGAGTATCCACTTGACTGCTTCCCAATGTTCCTTTCCAGGATTTTCAAGGAATCTGCTAACAACACCAACTGCATGAGCAATATCAGGTCTGGTGCATTCCATTGCATACATCAAGCTTCCGACTGCTGAAAAATAAGGAACTCTAGCCATGTTCCCTTTCTCCTCCACTGTTTTAGGACATATCTTCTTGCTCAACTTTAGATGACCAGCAAGAGGTGTGCTGACTGGCTTAGCACTTTTCATGTTGAAGCATTCCAATACACGTTCAATGTACTTCTCCTGAGATAGCCACAACTTTCGGTTTGTTCGCTTTCGAACTATCTTCATCCCTTGAATTTGTTGTGCTGGGCCCAAGTCCTTCATATCAAATGACTTGGACAGATCTCCCTTCAACTTTGCGATCAGCGCCTTATCTTTTTCTTTCTTCTGTTCGAAGCCTTTAACCACCAATCGAGCTTTGTATCTGACCAACTTTCCATTTCCATCTTTCTTGAGCTTAAAGACCCATTTGCATTTGAGTGGTTTTTTACCCTTTGGAAGTTCAACCATCTTGTACGTGCCATTTTTTTTGTAGAGATGCCATCTCTTCTTGCATGGCTTTCATCTACTGGTTCTTTTCTGAATGGGACAACACCTCCTTAAGACTTTCTGGCTCCCCTTCATCACTGATGAGGACATACTCTATGGAAGGGTACCTGCATGACTCTACCCTTGGCCTCTCTAATCTCCTCAGAGATTGAGGTTGTTCTTCTTCCTGAGTGGGGTGCTCCACTGGCTCGACACCATCATCAAGTTGCTCCCGTGCTCAATAACCTCATCAGGTTTCCCCCTGCTTGGTAACCTCGTTGGTCGTACTTTCTGTACTTGTGGGATAGTTAGAAGAAGAAGGAATAGTAACAAGGTTAGGAATTATACTATTTTTGGCCTTCTCTGACATATCAGCAGTAGTTCCAGCTTCACTTTCTCGGAAGACTACATCTCTGCTTCTGATGACCTTCTTCTTTACAGGATCCCACAATCTGTATCCGAATTCTTCATCTCCATATCCAATGAATATGCAGGGAACAGATTTATCATCCAACTTTGTTATCTGCTCCTTTGATACATGTGCAAAAGCTTTGGAACCGAATACCTTCAGGTGTGAGTAGGAGACCTCCTTGTTGGTCCAAACTCTCTCTGGGATGTCAAACGCCAACAGAACTGATGGACTCCTATTGATCAGGTAACAGGTTGACTGAACTGCTTCACCCCAGAATGACTTAGGCAGTTTAGCCATTCTAAGTATGTTTTTCACCTTCTCAACAATGGTGTGGTTCATCCTCTCGGCTACGCCATTGTGCTGTGGGGTTCCAGGAACTGTCTTTTCATGTCTGATCCCATGACTTGAGCAGTACTCTTCAAATTCCCTTGAAGTGTACTCACCTCCATTATCACTTCAAAGACATTTTAGCTTTCGACCCGTCTCCCTTTCTACCAGAGCATGAAACTTCTTGAAAACTTGAAACACCTGATCTTTGGTTTTCAAAATATAAATCCATAATTTTCGTGAAATATCATCAATAAAAGTAACAAAATATTTATTACTACCCACTGATTGTATTTCCATTGGACCACAAACATAAGAATATACTAGATCAAGTATATTTAATTTTCTTTCAGACGATGTCTGAAATGAGACTCTATGCTGCTTACCAAATAAACAGTAGTCACAAGGTTTTACCATTATGCCTTTTGCATAAGAAATGAGTGATTCCTTGGAAAGAATCTGCAATATGTTCTCGCTCATATGACCCATTCTTCTGTGCCACAAATCTACAGAAATCTCATCTTGTGTCGCATTCAATTCACCTTGGCATAATTCTGTATTTGTTTTGTACAACGTGCCACGAGCAACTCCCTTTGTAATCACCAATGATCCCTTGGTGAGTCTCCACTTTTGATTTGCAAAATAGTTCTCATACCCATCTCGGTCCAAAGCAATTCTCGAGATCAAATTCATCCGCAAATCAGGTACATGCCGCACGTCCTTTAGAACCAATGTACATCCAACATTTGTCTTGATACAAATATCACCAATCCCCGCAATCTTTGAGTAACTTGTGTTACCCATTCTCACAGTGCCGAAATCACCTGCTACATATCTGCAAAAAAGATCTCCTACCGGTGTGGCATGGTAAGATGCCGCTGTGTCAACCACCCATTCCGACTCTGGACCTGACAGGTGCATGCATTCTTCTTCCTCATTTATAAAAAGGACAACATTATCATTGTTTTGCACTATGGCGGTTGTGTTGTCGTCATTCTTCTGGCCACTGTTTCACCTTTGCCCTTTCTTGAATTTGGGCAATCTCTTTTGAAGTGACCTGGCTGATCACAATTATAGCAATTTCTGGCTCTTGATTTGGATCGGTTCTTTGACTTCCCACGAGCTTTGGATCTACCATAGTTGCTCAAACTCCTTTGATAAATCCTGCCTCCACCTTCTATGATGAGAGTCTGTCCTTGATTTTCAGGCTTCTTTTTCATCTTCTCATTGAGTAGAAGAGCCGATGTGATATCTTTTAACTCAATGGTAGTCTTACCGTGCATGATGGTTGTTGCCAAATTATCGTACAAAGATGACAACAAGTTTAATAGCAAGATCGCCTTATCTTCTTCCTCGATTTTCACTCCGAGGTTGGCGAGCTGTGTGATTAGTCCGTTAAAAATATTTAAATGTGACAAAAAAATCATACCTTCACTCATGTGTAAGGCATATAACTGCTTCTTCAGGTATAATTTATTTGTCAGCGTTTTGGACATGTGTAGGCTTTCCAACCTTGTCCAAATGCTACGTGCGTGACTTCATCAATGATGTTATTTACTACATCATCTGATAAGTGCAACCTGATTGCTCTAGCAGCGCTTTCATCCAAGTCAGCCTAATTCTCAACTTTCATGGTGTCAGGCTTTTTAGCATCAACATCTAGTACCTTGTGTAATCCTTGTTGGATGAGCAGATCCCTCATCCTTCTTTGCCATGTTGATAAACCATTATCTACGTTGAATTTTGCTACCTCGTACTTTTCTCAGGATATTTTTATTTTTCATCGCGTATAGTACTATCGAGAGTGAATAGTATTTCCGTGAACAAGTAGAACCTGTGCTCTGATGCCAGTTGTTGGGAATAAACTCCCACAAAAATAATATTCACGGTACTAAAAGCGAAATAATAACGTAGCACCGAGATATGGTAATTAACAAGAATAAAAGAGTAACAACGATACCAAGATTTTTACGTGAAAAACCCTTCTTGAATAAGGGAAAAAATCACGGCCCCGAGAGGAGCAACTGATATCACTATAACAAGGAATTTTTTACACTTTGTAGGTCCGAATAAAATACTCCAAAGACCACTACAACACTCGAAAGAAATAACCTTCTTTCGATATTCCCATCTCACTACAATATCGCTCACTCTCTATTTTTTTCACAGACTATTTTCTTATACTCTATCTCTCATGCATACTGCAATTCATATTTTCCTTCTGGAGCCTACCTTTTTGACAATGGAGAAGATAAGAGTGGTTGCCAACCAACAAAGCAAGAAAGTCTTCCTTAAATAATGGGCGGGACCCACACCTCCCATATAATTGGTCCTGCAACTATTACCCATTAACTGCTAAAATTAGTAAGCGGTCATATGCTAATGTTTTTGGAGACCAATTAAATACCACGAGGTGATGTTGTTCATATGCCGTGTGGGATTGCGAGAGGATGCGGGAGTCTAATGCCCAGATAATTTTCTATGTTTTACCTAAATAAGGGGCGCTCGGGTATGTTGAAGTTGCACCAATGTTTAAGTGTGTCTCGAGGGTGTCTTTAAATACACCAGTTCAACGGTGCCAAGCAAAAGAACACATCATTAGCTCTACCTGGAATTAAGGATATATCCTGGAGAGGAGCCAAAACTTTAAAATAGACATGGTCTTATTTTCAAGGATACATGAGGATATATTCTACAGATACAAATGTCCTATGTTGCCCTTTGACAGTACGTGAGGATTCATCCAAATGCTTTTGGCTCGCTTCATATCTTTTTTTTTTTTTTTTTTTGAAAATCTTTGTACTAATTCTCATCCATTCACAAAGAAAATAATGTTACTTTATATTACTCGTAATATACTTACCTAAAATCTTAACGTTACAGTGGAATAGGGATAGCTAGCAGAGGTTGAGCTTTTGCCAAGGTAATACCAAAATTTTCCTCCATGTCCAAATCTTTAGGTGCAATTCCACCTTGTAGCTTCCAGTTTAACGTATTTAGCAATGAACCTAGGGCTACTGGAATCATCCTGATAGCCAAAGGCAATCCAGGACAAATTCTCCGACCAGCACCAAATGGTATGAGCTCAAAATCCCGACCTCGAACATCTATTTCTGACTCCCAGAACCTCTCTGGGTTAAAGACCAACGGATTTTCCCATAGGCCAGAGTCGCGCCCAATTGCCCACACATTCACTAGAACTTGCGAGTCTTTTGGGACAACATAGCCACAAAGCTCAACATCATCCTCCACTTTGCGCGGAATTAAGAAAGGAACCGGAGGGTGTATTCTTAAGGTTTCCTTCACGATGCATCGCAAGTAAGGAAGCTGTGCAACATCAGCTTCATCTACTAGTTTACCTCTGCCAATCACATGTGCAAGTTCTTCTTGGGCTTTCTCTAAAGTATGTGGATTCTTAAGTAGTTCTGCCACTGCCCACTCCAACGTATTTGATGTTGTATCGGTTCCTGCTACAAACAAGTCCTGTAAAACTTACTATTGTAAGATCCTATGATGTAGATGCCATATATAATCTAGTAAAAGGTTACATAGCATATGTTGCTTTCAATTGGACAAACTGAAATGTGGGCACGCAAAAAAGGGGACCAAATACTGTTGATAAGGCGAGGCGTTGTTGCCACAAGCATTAAACAAATCTAACAAACATTAAACACATAATAAAATTCAATAAATTAAAAGTGTAATTTATCTATAGTTTAAACTTTTAAATGAATTGGCCACACATGTCTACATCGCATCAGTGAAGGCATGCAGCAGGAGACAACATGTTCTGAGTTCAAATCTTACTCCTAGCGAAAGAACAAAAAAAGAGAAAACATATTTTCACATGTTGGGCTATGAAATAAAAAAGGTTCACAGGCGAGGAGATGTCGAGACATAATACAATTAAATATTCAAAAAGTATACTCGCTCTAGCAACTGAATTTTTAGATGGACTAATCATCAATCTATCGCAACCTCAGAAATAATAGAAGGAGCAGGGAACAAACCAGACACATATGCTCGATGTGATTCCTGTCAAGCTCTTCTGGGCTAATGTCGAGAAGGGCATCTAAAACATCAACATTTGCATGGTTTCTCATTTTCCTTTCCTTTAGCCGTTCATCAATCAAACCACTCATAAGGTCAAGAACCTTAGTAAGATGATCGGTCATGCGCTGCCTTATATGTTGTGGATCAATTTTCTCAAGAAAAGGGAAATAGTCCACCAAATTTGGTTTACCAGCCTCGACCATCATGTTCCACACCAAGTCCTTAAATTCCTTAGCGGAATCAGAAAACGGGTCAGTCAAATCTTTAGAGAAAATGGTGTTTGATAGCAAATTCAGGAAAGTTCTAAAAGCTGCTCTGCCAATATCCACTGCTTCACCATTGTAGGCCCTCTTGTGACAAAAATCAATTAGCTCCTGGATCTTTTTACTTCTGAGATGCTCACTAACATCAAGCTTGTTACCTGAGAATACATGTGATAAAATCAATCAACCTTTAGTAAACCACTCAACCAACTCGAAATAGAACGTACGGGTTGGGTGGGTTATTACCCTATTTGGCCAAGCCGGAGAAATCAGCTTATTTTGAGAAATGCTTTTTTCAAAAGTGCTTTTGAAAAAAGTACTTTTGGAGAGAACCAGTTTGTGTTTGGCTAATCAGTTTGAAAAGAACTTTTGAGAAATAATTTGTGTTTGGCCAAGCTTTTTAGAAAGTGCTTTTAAGTGTCAAATTACGAATAAGGACATGAATAGATGTACTTAATAATTAATATTATAAGTAAATAAATAATCTCAAAATTTTATTATTACATGAAATAATTAAAAAATTAATTTTATTTAAGTAAAATATGAAAATAAAATAAAAAAGTACTTAATTCTTTTAATATAAGTTAAATATATTAAAATTCGTTCAACAAATATAAAAGCATTCACCCCTAAAGTCACTATATATTAGAAAGTTTTCCTAAAAATAAAAAGAAATATTTATAAATTAATATCCTAAGTATTAGGTTTAAGGGTTATTTTGGTATATACTATATTTTGTTAAGGGTATTTTAGGTAAGAAGAAAAGCCAAAACTGCTTCTGCTTCTGCTTTTGGAAAGAAGCTACTTTTTTCTGCTTCTCTGAAACTG